AGTGCCTCCTCCGCTGACGGTGTTCAGGAAAGCGCTGAACCCCGTCCTCGGCAAACCCAAAGCCACGGAGAGCTCCTCGTCCCACCGCAAGGGGCTGGCGGTCGACTCGGACTTGGGCGACGTCAACGCGGCTGAGTGGCCGATCCAAAAACAGCTCGGGCCGGACCTCGCCGTGGGGAAGCAGTCGTGGACGGGGAATGCCGGGGCTTTGGGGGTTTTTCGTTGATGTCGCTGGAGCCGGCTCCTTGCAGCTCGTATGATATCGAGATGAGGCCCTACGTGTGCAGCGTCTTGTTGGACGAGCAGGGGAAAGAGGAGCTGGGCCCGGAGGAGGACCCGGCGGTGTACACCTGCATCGAGTGCAGCATCTACTTCAAGAAGAAGGAGCACCTGATGGATCACATGCTGCAGCACAACCGCGGCCCGGGGAGGGACCACGATGGAGACGCTTTGGGAGGGCAGTGCCAGTTCTGCTGCAACGAGTGCGGGTGGGCTTTCGGGGACCTCGCGTCTTTAGAGCAGCACAAGAGGCTCCACCAGGAGTCCAGGGAAAAAATCATCGAGGAGATCCAGAAGTTGAATGAGTTTCCGGACGAAGGCCGGGAAGCACGGCTGCAGTGCCCCAAGTGCGTCTTCGGCACCAACTCCTCCAAAATCTTCGTCCAGCACGCCAAGATGCACGTCAAGGAGAGGAAGGACCAAGGGGCGAAGAGCTTGAATCTCTTTGGCAGTGGGGAAATTCGGGACAGCCCCGTGCACGGCGTCTACAAACACTTCAAAGCAAACGAACACGCGGCCCTGCAGATGCAGCTCCCGCCTCACGGCAAAGGACTCAGCACCTGCGTCCTCTGCAGCTTCCCGGCCCCCAACGAGAACATCCTCAAGGAGCACATGAAATACGCCCATTCCCACCTCTCCTGGGAGACGGAGGCATACGAGGACGATCCCAACCAACCGGGAACCAGCAGGGACGCCTACAGCCCGGCCAGGCCGGGCCGCTTCGCGGAGACGGATTATTTCGGCAAAGCCGACCGGCTTTTCCCTCCGCCGCACCGGGAAAGCACGTCGCATTACGAAGCAGCCCATGGTTTCGCCCTGACGCACTCGCGACTCGAGAAAAGCGACGGGGCCGGTAAAAAGGACTACCAAACTTCAGGTTTTCACGCCAGGAAAGCGGCCCCGTACTCCACCCCGCACAAAAACCCGGGCTTGTCCGGTTTTTCCTCTGCTAAAGCTTACTCCCAGTTTACTCTGCTGAGGAAAAGAGCGGCGGCGGCCCAGCACCTGGAAGGAGAAGGGGATGGGAGCCACGCGATGGGGCTGGAGGAGCTCAGGCACAAGTGGTTGTTGGGCAGCGACGCCGGGAGCGCGGAAGAGGAGATCACCTTGAGCGCTGAAATGGATTTGGGCACAAAGCGAGGCGTCAAGCACGTCACCGTCCCTCAGGCCGCCTTGGACCTCAAGAGGACGTTCAGGGACACCTTGAAAGCCACAGACTCTGCGATAGCGTCGGACGAGCAGCAGCAGCAGCTGCGGATGATGGTCCCCCTCGTCCTCCTGGAGGAGATGAACCCGCACCCCAAAGCGACGAAGAGGCCCCGGGGGAAGTCGTTCAAGAAGAAAACCGCGCTCCCTCCCCGCGATTTCGTGATGGAGGAGCCCCTGCCCTTGGATGTGCTCCTGTTGGACGCCCCCCTGGAGCTCGATGACATCTTGGATTCCGATTCGCCCATGCTGAAGAACGAGGAGAGGAAATGTCCCTACTGCCCCGACCGGTTTCACAACGGGATCGGGCTGGCCAACCACGTGCGGGGCCACCTCAACAGGGTGGGGGTGAGCTACAACGTCCGTCACTTCATCTCGGCGGAAGAAGTGAAAGCTATTGAGCAAAAATTTTCCTTCCAAAAGAAGAAGAAAAAAGGTAGTATGTATTCAATTCACCGTGCTTTCTATTTTCTTGGGTTAAGCGGTGGGGGTTTTTTTCTCCTCCCACCAAAAACTGGGTACGTATGCGACTACGGTCAACCTAAACCGCGGTGGCCACAGCACGACCAGTGCCGTGCGGTTGTCCCGGGTGTGAGAACCCATTTTCCCCTGTCCTCGAAGGCCTGGTTTTTGCCTCAGCGTTGACTTTGTCCCCTTCTTTCCGCAGTTGCCAACTTCGACCCCAGCACTTTCAGCCTGATGCGGTGCGAGTTCTGCGGGGCCGGTTTCGACACCCGAGCCGGCCTCTCCAGCCACGCCAGGGCCCACCTGAGAGACTTTGGCATCACCAACTGGGAGCTCACCGTCTCGCCCATCAACATCCTCAAAGAGCTGCTGGCCAACTCGGCCGAGCATCCCATGCTGCA